TCTCAGCTTCCATGAAGGAGCAAGCTCTCTTTAATAACCTCCAATAAATTGAAGAAACATAGAGTCAGAAGGGATACCCAAAGTCACCTAGTCCAGCCCCTGCAATGCAGGAATTTCAGCTAAAGTATCCCTGACAGATGGCCATCCAACTGCTGCTTAAAAGGGTCTTTGAGAGGGAATCCGTTCCACTTTGATCAATTCTTCCTGTTAGAAAGTTCTTCTGATGTTGAGTCGCCTTCCTTGCAATTTGAAGCCACTGTTCTGAGTCCTCCCCTCTGGAGCTGGAGAAAACAACCTCGAGACATTTGAAGATGGCTATCGTATCTCCTCTCAGTCTCCTCTTGACCAGCTACTTCCACCATTCCTCACAAGGCTTGGTTTCCTGATCATTTTGGTCACCCTCATCTGCACACCTTCCAGCTTGTCAATGTCCTTCTTAAACTGGGGTGCCCAGAAATGGACAAAGGACTCCCAAGTATTTTAGTGTTGCATTTTTAACAAATCCATCCTGGCACCAAGTTACAGCAAAGGTTTGGGGCAAAGAATTGCATAAATAACACGCATGCATTTGCAATAACTCAATCTCTTAGCGTGGTGACCTTTGGAACTCCCTGCCTATGGACATCATGCTGGCACCCTCCCTGTACTGTTTTCAGTGCCTACTGAAAACATTTTTTTATTTAGACAAGCCCGTCCAGACATTCAGAAAGCTGCTGCGAGTTTTCACCTAACATTTCAACAGCCTTCGGTTATGGTTGTTGCTACTTCTCCTCCTAGATAATGGTCTCTTTTTCATAACCGCCCTGGAGGGGTGGCGTTGTTTTTAAGCAATCGAGCGGCGTGTGAATTTCTAGGAAGCAAATAAATGGAAACAACGAGAGGCAAGGAGCCCGAGAGAAATCGAAAAAGTGCCGTGCAGAACCAGCTGTCGCGGAAGATGCCCGAAACAGTCTATTTATTCCTTGCTCTGCAGAGAGCATCACTATTGACCGAGGAGGTGAGAGGCACCCAGGGCTAATGCCTGGCTAATCGGCCGCCCTCTTTGCGCGAGGCCCTGAGAGCGAGCCGCAAATCTGGGCAATAGGGAAGGGGACGCAGAGGGTTCGAGTTGGGCTTAATCCCTTGGAAGGACACCTTTCCAGCGCCAGCTGCTCAGGAAGGGGACAGGGGGAACTGGACGTCCTGCAGGAGAGCAGGAGGGGCCCCAACCCCTTTGAAAGAGGATCAGGCCAATTCACAGAGGAGGAGAGGGCTATGGGGAGGCAGCGAGGCTTCTGAATGCCAGTGGCTGGAAACCACAAGAGGCGAGAGGGATCTCGGGTTCGGATCCCGCTTGCGGGTTTCCCGTCAGGACGTTGGGGTGGCCACCTGAGGACAGGATGCCGGAGCAGAGGAGCCACTGGCCTGATCCTGCAGCCAGGCCTGATCTGATGTTCTGCTTCCACAGTCGGAAGCAGCGAGGCTCCTCGTAGAACCACAAAACTGGGACCCCCGGGGGTCATCTAGTCTAGCCCCCCGTGATGTGGGAATCTCTCGTGTTCGAATTCTGCCTGTGGGTTTGCCCTGGGGGCATCTGGGTGGCCACTGGGAGAGCAGGAGGCTGGACACGGTGGGCCCGCCTTGGCCAGGGCCCAGGAGGGTCTTCTGATGTTCTTAAGACCAAGAGGATCTCGGTTTGCAGCAGGAACAGGACTCAGCCCTGCTGGGTCAGACGAAAGGCCCAGAGAGGCGGGCAGGCAGCTTCCCATAGTGGTTGCCCGGATGTCCCCAACAGGACACCCACGTGTGCCCCGTAGCCCTCACCCTGGTCGGGGCTGGACCCAAAGGAGCACAGGAAGCAGCCTTCTGCCAGCCGGAACCATTGCTCCATCTAGCTCAGCAGTGTCTGCTCTGACGGGCAGCAGTGGCTCTCCAGGATGTAGGAGAAGAAGTCTCTCCCAGCCCCACCCAGAGACGCTGCCCAGGACTGAATCTGAGAGTTTCTGGGTGCAAAGCAGGGGCTCTGTCAATGAGCTGCAGCCCCTTCCCCAAGACAAGGAAACCGGATACCCAAGGGGTCCTCCAGACACCCTTTTCATAATGCATTCAACTTAGAATGCTAGAATTGTAGAGTCGGAAGGGACCCCGAGGGTCATCCAGCCCAACCCCTTGCAATACAATGAATATTTTGCCCACCGCAGAATTCGAACCCAGGTCCTTAAGAGTCTTGTGCTCTACAAATTGAGCTGTTCCAGTGTTGGCCACTTCCATCGGCACCTGCACTTTGGAACTCCCTGCCTCTTGAGATCAGGTCACTTGCACTCTTTCTGGAGTCTACTAAAAATATTCTTGTTTAGACAAGCCTGGTGTGAATTTTAATCCGCTATAGCATTTTAACAGCTTCTATATTTCAATGCATTGTAGTTTCCCCCCTGACTTTAATGTTTCATCTTTTTGTAAACCACTTTGAGGTTGGGGGGGAGGGGGGTTCAATCAAGAGGTGTATAATTTTTATGAAATAAACAAATAATTATTTGTGCGCAAGACGTTAACGGGGTGGTTAGACTGTCACACTTTCGACACTGGCCTGCAAAGATTTCATGGTGGGCACACACTTAGTTCCTCACTGGCACATGCTCCAAAGTTTCTGGATAATTTCGTCCAACTTTCCATAGCTGCACAAGTTCCAGTTTATCTTTTGTTACACTATAGCCCAAGAGTGTCCTTTCAGAGGGCAATACTGTGGCAACATTGGAGTAGTTATCAGAGAACAGCTAATATTGCGGAACGACGTGTGGACGGTCCAGTAAAAATAGGAAGATAGGAAACTCCCCTATATTATACCAGACAACTGGACCATCTTGGTACTGCCCTCAGACCAGGGCATCCCAAACTTTTCATGTAGGTGACACACTTTTGAGACACGCATCATTTCGCAGCAGCATAATTCAGTTTTACTAGCAAACCAGAGGTTAAACCATGGGTAGGCAAACTAAGGCCCGGGGGCTGGATCCGGCCCAATCGCCTTCTCAATCCAGCCCGCGGACGGTCCGGGAATCAGCGTGTTTTTACATGAGTAGAATGTGTCCTTTTATTTAAAATGCATCTCTCGGTTATTTGTGGGGGATAGCAATTCGTTCTCCCCCCCCAAAAAAAAATATAGTCCGGCTCCCCACAAGGTCTGAGGGACAGTGGACCGGCCCCCTGCCGAAAAAGTTTGCTGACCCCTGGTTAAACTAACCATTTCCCAGCTCTGAGAGGAGCGTCAGCAGTGTTTGCACGACACACAAACATGTCGCGACACAGCTTGGAAAGCTCTGGTCTAGGCTAACCGGCTGGCAGCAGTGGCTCTCTGGGGTTTCAGGCAGGAGGGACATTCCCAGACCCACCTGGAGATGCCATTGGGGACCAAAACCTTAGAGCCCTGCTCCCAAACCGGAGCTATTCCTCTCCCTGCCAGAGCCTTGTCTAAGGGCGGAAAGCCACAAAGCTGCAACCACGCAGGTCAAAAGCACACCTGCCCTGGGCAAGCTCTCAAAGGACACACTAGACTAGGGGTCAGCAAACTTTTTCAGCAGGGGGCCAGTCCACTGTCCCTCAGACTTTGTGGGGGGCCAGACTATATTTTGGAAAAGAAAAAAAAGAACGAATTCCTATGCCCCACAAATTTTAAATGCATTTTAAATAAAAGGACACATTCTACTCATGTAAAAATATGCTGGTTCCTGGACTGTCCGCGGGCCGGATTTAGAAGGCGATTGGGCCGGATCCGGCCCCCAGGCCTTAGTTTGCCTACCCATGCACTGACTAGACCTTCACAGAGCCCGTTTGCTTTTGCACACTCCAGGAAGTGGCAGAGCTTGGAGACGTGCAAACCTCCCGCTTCTTGACAGCATTTGTGCCTTTAGCCCAAAAGGTTCTCGGAAGTGGCTCCCCAAAAGCCAGCACTAAGGCTCACCATCTAAAAAGACATGGCACAAGAGGAAAAAGGGAGGAGGAGGGAGGAGGTGGAAATCAAGCACAACTACTTCAAGTTACCAGTCCCTAAACATTAAAAGCCTTATCATCTCCTCCAACTATTCACACGCTAACTTTGAAAACTCAATGCGGGGACACCTTTCCGCTTCTCTCCAATGCAAGGGAGGTATCCTGGCAAGTCGATCCTTGCGGGAGAGATTCCACAGATGGGCGGAAGCCAGACACAGGCAGAATCCAGGTGCCAGGGGCCTCTGAGCACCAGGGGCCCACCAGAACTCCAGCCAGCCATAGCAGGCCGTAAGCCCCCTGGAAGAACACAGGTGCAAACTGAGAGGCGACGGTGACACTCGTGTCATGCCTGCTTCTGACATGCACTGGCGTGTCTGGTTACGCAACCTGTCATGGACTGCTTGGGTCTTGGGTCACCTAGGCCCTAGGGGAAGCGAGCCCCATGGGGCTACTTCTGAGTAAACAACCACAGGAGGGGGCTCTGGAGCAATACTTGATTCCATTGTGGTTTGCCAAAAAGATAAAACAACAAAAATTATCCACAAGGAGCATAGATAACCATCTAGACTTGCAAAAAGTCAAAATAACGACACTCTTGGGATGTTAATAACCCAACAGGAATGAAATAATAATAGACGAACAGCAGCATTTGTTCTACTTTATTTGCTTCCTTTCCTCCATTCAACTTTCTCCCTCCCGCGGAAAAGACTACCGTGTAGGAAAAGCGCGGGTGGAGACAGAAGACGCCCCCCCCAGCCGACTTTGCCGGGGAGGACCAATGAGGTGCAGCAGGGACACCCCTTGCGGCCCCTAGAGGGATCGAGTGGAAGTGGGTGGGGTGTGGAAGATCGGGGGGCTGAATATTCAGGGACCCCCTCCCCACCCCCACTATATGTATCTTTCAGAAAGACTGGTCTTTGCGGCCAAGGGGCCTGGCGTTGTGGCGTCCGGAGGGGTTGCGCTTTGGCGCTGCGCCCAGGGCGCACGGCGCTTGGAGAGGTGCAGGGGACTCCGGGCCTGCGGGGCCGCCTTACCGGAGGTGATCTTGGGGAGCCCCAGCACGTCCTCGGGGCTGATGGCGGCTTTGCGCAGCAGCTCCTCCTCGGTGCAAGCGGCGGCGGCGGCGGCGGCTCCTCCGCCAGCGCCGGCCCCGGGCGCGCCTCCTCCTCCTCCGGCGCCGCTGCCCTTCTTCACCTTCATGGCGCCGCCGTTCCCGCTGCTCCCGCTGCTCCTGCTGCTGCTGCTCTGGGCGGCCGCGGAGCGAGTGGCGGCGGCGGCGGCGGCGCGCGCGGAGGCTGCTGCAGCGGCGGCGGCGGCGGCGGCGACAGCGACCACGGTCGCCTCGCTCCTGCCCGCCCGGCCGCGCGCCCTAAGCGCCTTTGCGGCCGCCGCCGGGCCGCCCCTTTGGGCCCGGCTCCTCCCCAGCGGAGGGAGGAGGGAGCGCAAGGGCGCCTCGGAGCGCGTGCAGAGCGCCGGCCAGCGCGGGGTAGGAGAGGTGGTGGCAACCTCGCCGGGCTGCTGTGAAAGGTACATGGCAGAAAGAAGGGCAGCCCCGCGCTCCTTGGAGAGATGGGTGGGGGGCAATTGGAAAGAGTGGAAAGGGGCCTCTGTCTGGAGCTGCGAGGCTCGCTGCCGGGCCGCCTGCTCTACCTAGCAGGGCTGTTGTGAAAATGTGAAAGGAACATGGCAGGAAGGGAGGACTAGGAGGAAGAAGGGCAGCCCCGCCCTCCTTGGAGCAGGTGGGTAAGGGAGAAATCTTTTTTAAAAAAATTATTTAGAATCATGAGGACTAGCATCTTTCTCTTTAAAGGGAAGGGACGCAGATCAGTGGTGCATGCTTTGCATGCAGAAGGTCCCAGGTTCAGTCCCTGGCAGCCTCTCTAGGTTCCGCTGGGAAAGACTCCCTTGCCTGAAACCCTGGAGAGCAGCTGCCAACCAGTGTAGGCAATACTAAGCTAGATCGACCACCGGTCTCGCTCAGTTTTGATAGAGGCAGCTCCCACCGTTCCTATAACACAGCGATAGCCAAAGTGCTGCCCTCCAGCAAACAGTGTTCTGCCTCCACTGTCAGAGTGGAGCATCGCAAGTGAGGAGTGCTGCTCTCGCACTCGGGTCCTGCCTCCTTATGGACAGCAAGGTTGGCCGCTGTGAGAACAGGAAGGTGGACCAGATGGGCCCCCTGAGGCCTGATCCAGCTGCAGCAGGGCCCTTCTGATGGCCTCAACCTCTGGAGGGCCACAGGGGCCCCCTCCCTGCTCCAACTCAACACCCGCAGGAGGCCCATCCCCAGCCGCTGCCCCACCCGCCCAAGAACGACGACCCTGCAGAAAGAGAATCCATCCAACCAGACTTTTATTGAACATCCCTAAGTGTCCTTTGGTAGTTGCTACATGCCATCCTCTCCAACATGCAAACTTTCCATGGCAAACCAAGGAGGAAGCCCTTTCATAGCCCTGCAAGTGAACAAGATTTATTGGGGGCCACCCTTAAAATGACCGGGGGGGGAGAGAGAGAAATAGGAGAAGTGCCCATTCCATCCCACTGCATTCTTCCTAAACTTATTTCTGCAAAAAGGAAAATCTGTTTTTAAAAAAGCACCAAATCCACAACCCCAGGGAGATAATATTTCCCAAACCATCCATTTGGGTTACAGGTAGGTAGCCGTGTTGGTCTGCCGTAGTCAAAACAAAATAAAAAAATTCCTTCCGGTATCACCTTAGAAACCAAGTAATTTTGTTATTGGTATGAGCTTTAGCACACAAAGTCTCTAAGGTGCTACTGGAAGGATTTTTTTTATTTCATCCATTTGGGGGGGTGTGATGCGATTAATATTTACATCGAATTTTAGAAACAATAGCTGGCTATTGAAGTATTTCATTACACATCATTTATTTGCCGTTGGCTTGTGGTTTTCTCAAAACTTCTCGTTTCTTCATTTGCCCTCTGCCTAAGACATTTTCGGCACATTTAAACTCCTTATATCCAAACGTACAAATTTATACTTATTTATGTTGTGGGCGCCTGGTTTTTTGTGTGTGTGTGGACTTTGCAAAGAGTGAAGACAATATTGTAGGATCAAGAGAGTCTGGATGGGGTAGCTGGCTGCTGGGGAGGACACAATTATGAATTTCGGCTTTTCGCTTGGTTTTCGCTGAGAGTGTTTGTAGCAACGGGATGCAACTGTGCCTTCTATATAAAACAACATTGGAAGTTGTTTCCAATGGCAATAATAATAATAATAATATCCCAAACGCCGCAGCGTTCTTCTTTAGATGAGCCCATCACAGTCTCGGCAGCACCCTTTGAATCCAGCGGCAGGCCTCGCAGGGAGGGCGGTGGAGATCAGCCGCTACAAACTCTCCAACACAGAGAGAGAGAGAAACTCAGATCAAGAGGAGGACGGGGCCCCATCCCAGGAAGAGGGAGAGGGTTGCATCCAGACCCCTCTCTCGCCCTCCATCACGCACACCCCGGGCGCCAACTTCTCCACGCAGGGCGTGCGCCTCAGTCCACCTTGATGGCCGCTTTCTTGCTCTGCCTCATCTCCCGGCCGATCTTCACCAGCGACAGCAGAATGGGGACGGCCATGGGCAGGAAGAGGGGGATGTAGATGGCGAACTTCTGGTCGTCGGGGAAGTAGAGGAGGTGGAGGAGGGATGGGTCAAAAAAGGCCCTCTCTGAGGCATTGATGGCGGCCTTGCTGGCCTGGAAGGCAGAGTCCAGGCGTCCCTGGCTGAGCTCAGCCAGCGCCTCCTGGGCGAATGCCACAGCGTGGTACACCTAGGGTTAAAGAAAGGGCGCAGGGATCAGGCCGGGTTTGCTGGGCCAGTTTGGTGGCAGGACAGCTGCTTTGCATGCAGAAGGTTGGCAGAGAGCAGCTTCCTCATTTCTATTTATTTTATTTTATTTTTTAAAATTATTCATTTTCGTTCATTACATACATCTGAAATTCTTAACGTTTACTATATATTCCTCCCTCCCCTCCAAAACTTCCCGCAACTTGTGTTTCTGGTTTACTTATATTTTCACCGGCTTTGCTATCTCTCAACAGAAAAAGTTTCTACAGTGGTACCCCGCAAGACGAATGCCTCGCAAGACGGAAAACCCGCAAGACGAAAGGGTTTTCTGTTTTGGAGGCGCTTCGCAAGACGAATTTCCCTATGGGCTTGCATCGCAAGACGAAAGCCCATAGGGAAATGCTGGCGGTCGGGAGCAAAGACTTTCGCCCACAGCCGGCCTTCAGAAGAGGACCTCTTCTGAAGGCCGGCGGGGGGCAAAAGTCTTTGCTCCCCCCCGCCTGCCTGGGGCGATCTTAAAATGCTGGCGGGCGGGAGCGATGCGTTTGCTGCCGACCCCCAGCATTTTAAAATCTCCAAGGGACAGCAGAGAAGTCTCTGTCCCGGGGAGATTTTAAAATGCTGGGGGTCGGGAGCGAAGCGTTAGCTGCCGACCCCCAGCATTTTAAAATCTCCCCCTGTCCCGGGGAGATTTTAAAATGCTGGGGGTCGGGAGCGAAGCGCTGCCGACCCCCAGCATTTTAAAATCTCCCCGTGTCCCGGGGAGGTTTTGAAATGCTGGGGTCGGGAGCGAAGCGCTGCCGACCCCCAGCATTTTAAAATCTCCCCGTGTCCCGGGAAGGTTTTAAAATGCTGGGGGTCGGGAGCGAAGCGCTGCCGACCCCCAGCATTTTAAAATCTCCCCGTGTCCCGGGAAGGTTTTAAAATGCTAGGGGTCGGGAGCGAAGCGCTGCCAACCCCCAGCATTTTAAAATCTCCCCGTGTCCCGGGGAAGTTTTGAAATGCTGGGGGTCGGGAGCGAAGCGCTGCCGACCCCCAGCATTTTAAAATCTCCCCGTGTCCCGGGGAGGTTTTGAAATGCTGGGGGTCGGGAGCGAAGCGCTGCCGACCCCCAGCATTTTAAAACGCTGTTCCGAAGGGGGGGGACACCTGCCCCAGCCGCCCCACTTCGGAAAGCTGTTCCGAAGCGGGGAGGGGGGGCGGGGACACCTGCCCCAGCCGCCCCACTTCGGAACGCTGTTCCGAAGCGGGGCGGGGGGCGGGAACACCTTCTGAAGGCGGGCAGGGGGCGAAAGTCTTTGTCCCCCCTGCCTGCCTTCCCAGGGGCTTTTAAATCGCCCCGGACAGCGGAGAAGTCCTCCGCTGTCCGGGGCGATTTTCAAATGCCGCCCGCCAGCATTTTAAGATCGCCCCGGACAGCGGAGAAGTCCTCCGCTGTCCCAGGGTTTTTTAAAATGCCGGGGGTGGGAAGAAAAGCCCTTGTCCCCCCCCCCAGCCTTCAGAAGAGGTCCGGGGACAGACTGTCCCCGGACCTGGTCTGAAGGCGGTTTCCCTAGGAACGCATTAATTGATTTTCAATGCATTCCTATGGGAAACCGTGCATCGCAAGACGAAAAAACCGCAAGACGAAGAGACTTGCGGAACGAATTAATTTCGTCTTGCGAGGCACCACTGTATTTAAATCAGCCCTGAATTCGGAACCTTTGTCCTTCATTTGAATCTTTTAGGGGAAGGGCTGTAGCTGAGTGGGAGAGTCCCTGCTTAGAATCACAGAGTTGAAAGGGACCCCCAGGGGTCATCTAGACCAACCCCCTTTCAAGGCACCACGAGACTTGGCAATTGTGGTTGCAGCAACGGGCTCAGCACTGGACCCCAAAGTGGGAGGCAAACTGGAGCGGTGCTGCGCCGAAAGACCCGCCTGCGAGTTTACCTGGGAAGCCACGTCGTCCTTGATGACGATGTTGCTGATCTTGCCCAGCAGCTGAGCCAGGGAGGTCAGGGTGGTGGAGACGGTGGCCACGTTCTCCACCGTCCGAGCCCACAGCAGGCGGTCCAGCTCCCAGTCGCAGAGACCCTCGTTCCCGGGGCTTTCGAGGATGGCCCCCTCCGGCAGGGGACCCGGCAGGATCCCAAACAGCAAGCTGCAGAGAGGAAGAGGCCCAGCGAGCAGATTTAGACACCAGCAGGTTTATAAATAATAATAATTATTATTATTATTTATTATTTATAGCCCGCCCATCTGGCTGGGATTCCCCAGCCACTCTGGGAAGCTTCCAAAAAATATTAAAGTACTGTAATACATGAAACATTAAAAGCTTCCCTAAACAGGGCTGCCTTCAGATGTCTTCTGAAAGTCTGATGTTTGTTCTCTTTGACATCTGGTGGGAGGGCGTTCCACAGGGCGGGTGCCACTACTGAGAAGGCCCTCTGCCTGGTTCCCTGTAACTTGGCTTCTCGCAGTGAGG